ATATATATATATATATATATATATATATATATATATATATATATATATATGTGTGTGTGTGTGTGTGTGACTCTTGTGTAGGCTTGGAACGCACTGCTATCATTATCTGTCCGGGACATCTTCTATAAGCCATGGTGCACGAAATTCATCGCTAAATTTCAAAGTAGAATACACAAGGTATAGTGATCATTATGCATTTTTACGCATCCACATATCCCACTGCAAGGGTAACAGTAACTTTATATACAGCAACAGTAACTTTATTTCTCCCATACAATCGTGAGACTGAATGCGGAAAGACCTTTGCAGTTACTATACCTGCAAACTATGGAACAGTTTAATAAAATTAGATCTCAGAAACTCTGTGTCATTAAGAGCTTTTAGAAACAATTACTGGAACAGTATTTTTAACGAACAGAAAGAACTCCATGATTTTATTGTATAATCTGTTTTAATCAATTAGCGTAATGTGCACTTATATACATTTTTATATATCTTTATATTGCATGTCATTTAACTCATATTTTTAGATTGAGGGCCACTGGTTTATTAGTTTGTAACTATTCTGCGCTACCCTATTAAATAAAGAGTTTACTAGCTTACTTACTTACTTACTTACTAAGTAAACGCCCGTAAACAGAAATCCAGCTTTAAATTTTCAGTTGTGAAAGCTAAAGGAATTATTTCTTGCTTGCTCACTTATAAATTAACTGAATGGAAATAACTTAGTTGAAACATCAGCAGCCGATCTTTATCTGATATACAAACTCGAGCCGAAGGCAATTGATGGTATAATAAGAAAATTATACGGTATTTTATAATAATTTTTTTTTTGCATTTATATACCAAATAGTTCATGATTTTATTCATAATACATATTGTTTGGCAATAACTTTTTTTTTGTATTTGCCATAACTATATCAAACGTTAAAGAAATATGTTTACAATTACAAATTACTCATGTTTTGATAAAGACAACAGTTAAAGAGCTGTAAACGTACAGATCCTGTATAACATCCATGCAGTGCCGATGAAAAATAAACTCTCCCATAATGAAAATAGATAGAATTAATATCAGTCGTTTATTTAGCCAAACATTCAACAATTAATGGTATGCTATACTGTATAAGGTAATTGCACTTGCGTTAATCTGTCACACAAATACTTATAATATCATGTAAATTATTCGTAATAATTTTTGTCCATCTGAATGTTTTACTTTTTGTGCAATCCACTGATGGGCACGAAATGTCATTTTTATCCAATTTTAGCTATCACCATTACGTCAAATCGAGTTATGTTGTCAATCTGACGAACAGGAATGCAATCCAGATATTGCAACATGTCTAAGTGAAGCTGCTTTTAATGCTGTGGAAAGAATTGTAAAAGTAAGTACTGTATATGCAGTTAATTTGTAGGGAAAACCAACATGCAGTCACTCATAGATTCAACGTCCCAACATTTCTTGCGCCAAACCAAGTAAATTTTGGGTTGGCACCAAAAATTTACCCTTGCCACCCTTCCCCGTGGACAAGGACATACAGAGTAATCATGTCTAAAATGGCCTGTATATACAGTTCGATATAAGTGTTGCACAGATAGTTGACGAAAAAAAGTGTCATTAAAGGCCGTTTTCCACTAGGCGGAATTTTCCGCGCGGAGCGGAATTTCTCTTTGTCATTTCTTATTTGTTTCACCCGAGAAATCACAAGACAAAGAAAAATTCCGCTCCGCGCGGAAAATTCCGCCTAGTTGAAAACGGCCTTAAACCATGCACTTGGTCCGATGCCGTTCACTCGTACAATTATTGTACCTTGTAAAACAAAATACATTGTTTGAAAGCCAATGTTTTCCCCTATCAACTGATATGTTTTGGTCCCGCCTGTCGAAATGTGATATCTGGAAAATTGCGAAAATTCACAATTTTCGTAAGTCTCAAATTGTCAAAACTAATAGCAATTCTGCATCCGTTCAGGAAGTATTTTAATTTTTCAATCATATATTAGTTTGAAATTTAACTTTCGAGTCACACTTTTAAGGTGGCTTCCTACAATTTACTAGAAAATAGAAGATCTCCGATTACTGACCCAATAAAACAACAATGCTTACATTTATGTTAAAAGACAAATAATATCCGATCAGAAAAATAATAACTACAGAGTTGGATTTTTTCAAAAAAGGTAATCACAAGTGCCGTTGCAATGGCAACAATGACGCTTTAATATGGCCGATATTTTAGGTTTAAAGGACAGTGGCACCGAAAATTTTTATTCGCTATTTCAATCCTACTTGACGACCTAACTATGAAAATATTATCATTTCGTTCTCAAACATTTTAGTCTACGAGTAAAATGCATGCAAACTTTGTGTT